ACTGTGAAGCAAGCTGTCTTGCGCTGACTGTGGCCTAAGGCCGCGCAGGTGAGCAGCAGAGATGGCAAACTAGGGGAAGGAATTACATTGCAATGACTGGGCTGGGTAGCCTTAAAGCTGGATCGTGTCTGATCGTTTGTGTCCCTCTTGCAGTCCTGAGCCATGGTCTGTAAGGCTGCCCTGCTCCAGCGCTTTGCGAAGTTGAACTTGAATGTTTCAAGCAATAGAGCCCCGAGCATTTGCTGTGATAGCTTCTCTCCATCCTGATGCGTGCTGGTGTTCACATGTTTTCCCTTTCAAGGGAAAAGGTGATTTTTGTTGCTGCTTTGATAGAGGTGTGTCAGTATTGGCACTGGCATGGCTTAGCCTGTATTGTTTTGTTGGGTGGGGTGGGGGAAAGGGGAGAGGAGAAATAACTGGGTAATTGGATTCAGGGATGATTGTGCTGCTGTGGTAGGTTTTTCTGGATGAAGCAGCTTGTTGCGATAGGTGTTTGTTTCAGCTTCTGTCTGCAGGTATGACTTGGCTAGATAAGGATGGTCTATCACGTTGATGATTTCATTGTTTGATTTGGCCGGACTGGGTGGAGAATGTAGCTGCATTGTTTGGGACTGGCTTTGTAGTTTGGTTTTGTTGAAGTGGATTACATGGCAGCACATTGCTACATTATTAAGGTGAAGCTGCAGCAGATAATAGTTGGAGAGTGTTGGAGGGAAGAGAATATGCCCAGGGTTTCACAATGCGTAACTAATTGAGCCTCACATCAGCTCCCGTGTTCCTGTTGGGAGATCTGGTCAGCAGAATGCGTTGGGATTACACAGAAAACCTCTGGTAGTGATTTCAGTTTGCAGTCGTACTTTAACTGCAAGGCTGTCCGTGCCGCGTAAATAGCTGAGAGTGCTCCGGGAGACCACGCTGGCCCCGGCAGGGTGAACGTTGTCTGGATTCATACTGTTCTTGCGGCCTTTCCAGTTTTCACAGTGGGTGAGGGAGAAGCTGGCAGGTAGCTGCTCCGTCTTTCTTTACTGACCTCAAGTTTACCATTGAGCCGTGCCTCAGAGTCTGCGTTTCCTTGTATTGCGGAACTTTCAGGCGCTTGAACTGTCTTTAACATGTGAGTGAGCATTAATTGATGCAGGGTTGTCTCCATTACTGAAAGTGTGGCTGATCGGTTCTTGGGCCGTGAACTCTTTTGGCCTTATAGGAAATAACGGTAGTACAAGGTGGGGCTAAGCCCTCTATCTTGAGCAAACTTGCAGTATGTCTTACTTGGGAAGGTTTGCAGTTGGATTCCCTTCTCCCTGTAGCGTAGCACAGTGATGTGAAGTAGGAACTGCCAGAACAGTAGATAGTGCTTCTTCCTTCTAAAACCTGCCTGGTTTTCCCCTAGATGTGACTGAGCCTGGCTTTACCTGATGCTTGATGTTTTTATTTATATGTTGGCTGGCTGTGGAGGAGGCTGCATATACGAAGCACGGGTTTGGTAGAAATTGCTGGGCTCGTAGTGAGGGGAAGGTGAGCCTTTGAAGAGAGATGGGTGCAGAGACGGGGAGGTTACATGTCCGAGCTTTGTGCCAGCTTCTCTAAGCACAGATGAGCTCATGGGAATCCAGCTAGTTCAAATGCAGGAGTGCTAAAGCAGGTCTGACATATTTCCCCCACCATGTGCAGCACGCATCTTCAGGCTCTTCCAGTCTGATGGTAGCTTTTTTGGTGCTGACAAATCTTGCCAGTCTGAGCAGAGGCTTCCCCTTGTCGGTGGTTCAGAGCAAGTTTTGATTCCTCTGCTTCTGGGGCTGGATGCATGGGAGGGATGCACAGCTTGGCTGTGCATTCTTGTTGGTGACACTTTTCCTCTCTTCTTTTTCCAGGTGATCTATTCTTGTGAGACGAGTGGTTCGCAGCTCATGGCCTCCACAATGAGTACTGCCGTGTCGTGACACCAGGGGTCTTGGTAAGCTTGCTTGTTGGAAGGGCGAGGACCTATCGTATCTCTGCAAATGCGGGTCCATCTCTTTTTGTCTCTGCAGTTGAGGTTTGAAGACATTTTAAGCCATCCAAATTGTAAGCTGCAACCAAGTGGGGTGAGGCTGCTTTTCACCTGTTCTCACCTCCTCCTTTGAGCTTGCAGTGGCACTGATGTGGTTACTTGATCAACCAGATCAGGGGAGTGATCCAGCTGAATAGAGATTTCTGCTGTTTCCCTTGGGTTAGTTCCCATTCAGATCTTTCCCTGATCTGGTCAGGAGAGAGGTGGTGAGAATGAGTAGACAGTTGAACCATCCCTTTTCCCTGCAGCCATTGCCATTAAAGCAATCCTGAAAATACAGCCTTGGATGTAGTTTGCCAAAATGTCTTGAAAAGTGGCTTGACCGTTCACTGTCAGTGACCCTACCTCTAATTTTAGAGCGATGGTGAAGGCTTTGCTATGGCAGCCAGACTCCAGCTGCAAAAATACATTTCTCTAGAGCTTTTCCATTACTGAACCCTAGATTCCCAGACATACGTATGTTAGAAGTGCATTTAGAAAAATCATGAGGTATTCCATTTCACATTATAAAAGATGGTACATTCCCAGTGTGCAGAAATGAGAAGTGAAGGAAGTTGAGTTGCCGTTGTTCCACCAATGAATATATTGACGTATCCTTTATAGCTCTCTCTGGTAAGAAGAAATTTAAACTGAGATTGGAAAATACAATTCCCTTGCAGAGCGTATGAGTTCTAATAGATGGAAGATACATGTATATAGGATAATAAAAAAGTAGGGTTAAAAAAATTAGAGGGTTTTTTTTTTCCCCCCTGTAAAATACTTGAAAGTTTGGTGATGTCAGAAATATTGTGCAGCTAGTGTGATCCTGATTCTGTTCTTCATGTTTTCTCGTTGCACTGTGTAAGACTGGGAGTCTGAGAAAATTCTCATCTTAAAATAAAAGGTAACATGATAATGCATAAATTTCAAAAGTGGAAAAGCAGAGGATGAAACAACTAGAATACTTACGTTCGTCACAGAGGCATCCGCATCCTCCTTTTAGCATTGAGCTCTGCTCACTTTAATGCTATTGTTCCTTTTTTCTTTTTTACCTGAAATTCACTGTTTTCAGTCACACCTTCACCGTAAGCGAGGACCCCGAAGTATCAGTGAGTTCCACTGACTTTTACACATGCGTAAATCTTTTTCGAAAAGTGGAGTTGCGTGCTGTTGATAATGTTACGGTTTTGTTGTCAAAACAGACAGAGGAGCCAAATTTGCATGCAAAGATGGTACAATTTAGATACTTGTGAAGATGTTCTCCCTTATCTTTAGTGTATGTGTATAGCACCAGCTCCAATTACAGCACGATAGTAGTAACAATAGTAATTGTTCGCAAAATCAGTGGGAGAACCAGCTGATAGCCCCAGAGAGGCATGTGGATCCTGTGCAGTGTGTGGCTCAGACTGGAGTTCATCTGATTGTGCCTGATAGGAGGCATTAAAAATGAGACCTTTATTGCAGAAACATTCCCTCACATTAATGGATTTGTGCAGCACAGTGGAGGTGAGAATAGGGAGCGGGATGATTTCTCTGGGTCATGAAGGAGGCGTGTGGTAGAGAGGAGAATTTTGGGAGATGATGCAGAGCTTCACGGAACAACTGCAGTGTGGAGCACTGTCGTGTTAAAATACAGCAGTGCAAAGCCACTAAGAAGTGTAATGGCACAACCTCACAACAAGATGAATTTGGGGAACTGGAAAACCATGGTGCTCAATACTGCAAGTTACTGATAACTCTCCTTGGCCAGAGGTGGTCACGTAGTGCCTGTGTTTCTTAATCCTCTGGTGTCAGCATGTAAGCAAACCAGTTTTTGTTTTCTAAACGCCGTTTGAACAGTATTTTCTTTATAAAATTCAAGACACTCCCAGCCTGGTGAGATTTATTTTGTTTCATTTGATATACAGAGGAAGAAACTGCTTCTTTGGTGCTGAGAAGGAGTACTGGGAATATTTACATTTGAATAATATTTAACTAGCAATGCTTAATACATTAACAATAAATCTTGGTTAGATTCTAAATTAAGTGGATTTGCATCTGAGTAGGTGAGATGAACAGGAGAGATTTTGTTGAAACATAAACAAGACAGAAATTTGTTCCAAAATAATTTAGCCCAAAGGACATAAACAGTAATGTTCAATAGTTTCCTCCTCCAGAAATGGTTTTATGTGCCTTATTGCCTGTGTCATGCATATTGTTTCTTAGAAAGAAGCTGAAAAAGTGCTTATTTTTGTTTTGTTTTGTTTTTAAGTCTCAACAGTCTGTATAGTGGTGCGGAGCAAATTTAGACACGTAGGTCTCTAGTGATCTTTTGGCCTTTCTAATAGATATAATGAGGAACTAACCTCTGGTATTTTCAGAGTAATCACAGCATAGCTGGTTGCTTACAGGTGGTCAGGAAGGAATTTTATTTTATTTCCCTCCCTTTGTGCAGTCCTTAACACACATCATTGAACATATGTCTAGTTATATTGGACCAAGGAGACAGAAAAGATTTGAGCAGAGTTTATGTTCTTAAGAAATATCAGATTACAGCCATTCACAGGGGAATTCTGGATAGCTAAGTCATGTTGGGGATTTGTAATTTTGGCTTCCTACTGACTTGCTCTGAGGTGTCTTCAAGCTGAGCACAGATGCAGAATCAAAGTGTCCAGATACGAGGCGCTTCCCTGTTTTGTTGACTCCAGAGTGATTTGCTTTGGATGAAGGGAAGATGGCCTCACTGTAAACTGAATGGCCATCCAGGGCTGCCTCCGGTTTGAAATACACAGCTGTACTGAGCCATCTGAAAGCTCTTCTCCTGTGTCTTCTCAGTAATGGGGGAAGAATTGCCGTTTACTGCTTCACACCAGACGCATCTGCTTGAAAAGTTCCTCACTGGTTTTCTGTTCTCTTCTTGTGGGGTGTTTTTAACAGTGTGCCCTGGAGATGCGAGACTTCCCCTGGGCAGCAGGAGGCACGCGTCTAGAGAATGCTGGAGCTGCAGGAGGGAAGTGCCCAGTGCAAAACCAGAGAGGAGCAAAGAGAAAAAAGGCAAGCAGACAGCCAGCATTGAGAGAAGCGGGTGGCAGAAAGTGCTTCGACGCTGCCTCTGGCGGCACACTCCCCAGAGGAACTTGACGAGAGCCCATCTGCGTGCGTGTGAGACTGTGAGCTCAGGATTTCTGTCAATGCATTCCAGTAACCCCAAAGTGAGGAACTCCCCGTCAGGCAACACGCAGAGGTAAGGTAAAGAGCCTGCAGTCAGCTGCTCTGGATTGGTGCGTGGTGCTGTCCCTGCTCTGCTGCAGGATTAGCCGAGGACTGCTGCATGTGACTCACTGGTCCTCTTTGCGCTCCCATTGGACCTGCTGAGTACCTGAGCGCTGGCTGCACAGTACTGACGAGCCTTCACGTTTGCTAGGCTCAGGATGAGCTGAAAGCTGTAGACCCGTGAGGTGCGGATTCTATGTTCCTCGCGCCCTCCTCCGTCCCATCAGTTGTCTGAATAGGCTGTAGGAGAGTAAACATGCTGCTTCTATCTGTTTTTTTTTTTTTTTTTTTCCCCCCTTTTTTTTTTTTTTTTTCCCCCCTTTTTTTTTTTTTTTTTCCCCCCTTTTTTTTTTTTTTTTTCCCCCCTTTTTTTTTTTTTTTTTCCCCCCTTTTTTTTTTTTTTTTTCCCCCCTTTTTTTTTTTTTTTTTCCCCCCTTTTTTTTTTTTTTTTTCCCCCCTTTTTTTTTTTTTTTTTCCCCCCTTTTTTTTTTTTTTTTTCCCCCCTTTTTTTTTTTTTTTTTCCCCCCTTTTTTTTTTTTTTTTTCCCCCCTTTTTTTTTTTTTTTTTCCCCCCTTTTTTTTTTTTTTTTTCCCCCCTTTTTTTTTTTTTTTTTCCCCCCTTTTTTTTTTTTTTTTTCCCCCCTTTTTTTTTTTTTTTTTCCCCCCTTTTTTTTTTTTTTTTTCCCCCCTTTTTTTTTTTTTTTTTTTCTTCCACCTCTTCTAATTATCTGTTTCCCCAAGGGGTAGTTGGGCAGCAGAAGGTCTCTCTGTCTGTACTTTCACACAAAACGCCTCCTCTGTATTATTGGCCTGAACAGCCTGGAGAACTGATCAGCTGTGCACTGAGATCCTCTGCATCATTCACCTGCCAGTGCAGCAGGTCAGCATCTCTCCTCCGCTAATTTGGAAGGGGAAAAATATGGAAGCGAAGCACTGTCCAGGGACTTAAAGTGGTCTGATTGACAGCATTCTTGCGTTTGATTATTTACTCCTAGAGGTCATTTGGAGCTTAAGAGTAATTCAGAGGAACTGCCTCTGAGTCAGATGTATGTCCAACGGAGGAGACGGCTTGTGCAAGTCCCAACAGTGAGGATGCTAGCAAGCGCTGCCTGTTGGAAGTGGCAGTGATGCTGGGAAAACACAATGCAGAAGATCCGATAGCAATGGAGTAACTGGAGGGTGTGGAGGAAGGGGTGGCTAATGTGTGTGTAAAACCCAGAGGAACAAACTATTTTTAGGATGCAATTTGCTGAATGGAAGAGGGAAGGAAAGACTCTGAATTTCTTTTGGCAAATTAAAGAAGCTTCATCTGCCCCATTTTGCAGGAGTGTGCAGGGAGATGGTATCCTTTTTTCTTCTTCAGAGGCAGGTTGTAGCTGGTTTAATTGTTTTCACGGTCAGAGGTTTGTGTTTTCCTGGCAGCTCGCCCCAATGTATGATGAATGCTGCAGTAATGCTGGGTTTTCCTTGTGCTCCCTGCAGAACTGGATAGGGAGGTGCAAGGGAGGGGGCGGGGGGGGGCGTCTACTCTGATCAGAGCTGCGGCATATAGTTGGGGTCCAGGAGACTGGCGAGGTGAACTTTATTGTGCCTTGTTTGTTTACTCTGAGCTGGTCTTGGTGTGAGGCGCTTCTCTGTGCACATAGAAACCGTTGTCTTTATTGACAGAAGCCCCAGAGGTAGGTCCTCATGTGACAGCAGTTCCTGGGATCTGGCAGGTCTGTAGCTTGCCCTAGTGCCTTCTTGAGCAATGAGATCCCATCTTGGATAATAACCCTTTCAGGGCATGTTCAAAAAAGCACATGACTCTAAGCTTGCAGGCATTTTTTATTTGTCAGCAATTGTCTTGGCTTGCAAAGGTGGCAGTGGTTGTTTCTACTTCTCCCTCATCTGTTCCTACAGGGTTGGATGAATCCATGGTGTGATTTGTCACTTTTGTTTTCTTTTCCTCTTTTTGCTCTGCCCCCAGTAGCCCCAAATCAAAGCAGGAGGTGATGGTCCGTCCCCCTACAGTGATGTCCCCGTCTGGCAACCCCCAGCTGGATTCCAAATTTTCCAACCAGGGCAAACAAGGGGGCTCCACCAGCCAATCCCAGCCCTCTCCCTGTGACCCCAAAAGTGGGGGTCATCCCCCCAAAGTGCTCCCTGGCCCAGGTGGGAGCATGGGGCTGAAGAATGGGGCTGGAAATGGTGCCAAGGGGAAGGGGAAGAGAGAGAGGAGCATTTCGGCGGACTCCTTTGAACAGAGGGAAGCTGGGACTCCTAATGATGACCCCGAAATCAAAGGTATGTTTGCTAGGATTCATGCGCAAGTGCAGACAATTAGCCTGAGTCTTCTGTGAGATGGAGAATTGCTATGCAAGTGTTAGCGAAACATTTATTTGTCTGGGGTTCTGTAAGTTTCAGCCAACGAAGTCTAAAGGTCTTGAGAGCAGGTGAAGAGGAGAGGCTGTCATGGCTGGCATTGGTGAATGTCCTGTTCACGCTCAGTTAAAGTGCAGACCTGACTCTGGTGGGAAAGTTCCTTTGTAACTCTGAAACTCCCCCAGAGGATTTGAAAATATAAATGCAACCTGTTGGTTTCCTTCTGGCCTTTGGCCTTTCAGGAACTGCTCTGTTGTAACTGGGGTTTTGAACAATATGCCAGCCTGTTTTGTCAACACAGATACATAACCCGTAGCACCCTGACTGGTAACACAAGCCAGAGAGTTGGGATTCCTGTGTTCTGTTCCTGGCTCCAACATTGCCTCTGTGAGGTAGTGCAAAAACAGACTAGATGTGCAGTTGTCCATCTTTCCTTTGCTGTCCATTTTCGAGGTCACCTGGCTAAGGTGGCTGGACGGAAATAAAAGTAAAGTTTTGCACAGAGTATTCTCCTTGGGCACAGACATATTTATATTTGTTCATTTTAGTGTGTAGTTTTCCTGCTATTCTGTGTGGCCATTAGGGAATTCAAAGGGATCGGCTCTGGGAACTGCCACTTGCCTTGGAAAGGAGCAAGATGAGCTTTCTCCCAGTGGTGCCTGAAGGGCAGCATGGCATTAGAGGGAAGATGCATGGCATAGTAGAAGAACTGCCTTTAGTAGTGCTTGAGGGAGAGGCGGGAAATTTGAGGAGGAAAAGCTCTGGTCAGTTTCCAGAAATGTTTTCCGAAGAGCTCCCAGGGTTTTCAAGAAATGTTTTCCAAAGAGCTTCCCCTCTTTTCCTCTCTCTCCCAGACTGCAATTCTGCTGATCATGTGAAGTCCCAGGATTCTCAGCACACACCACACTCCATGACTCCTTCAAATACTTCAGCCCCGAGGTCTTCCACACCTTCCCATGGCCTGACTGCTGCTTTGGAGCCAGCAAGTGGGCAGAAGACTCCATCCAAAGTGGTTTATGTTTTTTCTACTGAGATGGCCAACAAGTAAGTAGGTAGATGCTTGAATGTCTTCAGGGAGCAGGGCTTATATTTGTGCTCCCTTTTTAAGAGATTCTCAAGTGTGCTTTCTCCATCAAGTGCATTCTTGTAGCAAAAAGTCATTACTTGTTTTGGGGATGCTGCAGGGGCTAGATTGGAGAATGTAGTTACCTCTTGCCCTCTGGGAAGTGAGTATTTATTCCTCCGAGGTGTGGTTTTTTTTTTTGGCAAATGCTGGTAGATACTGTTTTGCAATCCGTGCAGTGAGTAGCAGCCAGGATGGCTTAAACTGAGACATGAACCCTGAATGCTGATGAGTTTGTAGATGTAAGCATTTTTCTTTTGCTACTCATCTAGAGTGAAGTATGTGTGGTTAAGTCTCTCTTCCTTCTGCCAGCTGAAGGATAGAAGGGAGGGCGATTAAGAAAAATTAATTCTTAGCTTCAACTGGATATGTGCATCTGTCTGTCTTTGCAGGGCTGCAGAAGCTGTGCTGAAGGGACAGGTGGAAACCATCGTGTCCTTTCATATCCAGAACATCTCAAACAGCAAGGCGGAACGAAACACTGTACCCTTGGTAGGGAATACCTGCATGTGGGTGGGAAGGGAAATGGCAAATGTCCGTGTGCGTGGATGATTATTTACATACTGAAATAAGTTTCAGGGTGGAAAAGAGAGAGACAGTTGTTGTCCTAGCCTTCTGCAAGTAAATGTCTTGGATCATCCAAAGAAGAGCTTGAGTCTTGCAATATTCGTGTAATGTATTTCTGACCCACTGCTCATGCAGAGCTAGCGCAGAAGCAAGGGCTACCTGCTGTAATACTTGAGCAAAATACCTTTTGGCATGGCCAAGATGCTGTTCTGTAATCACTGCATGAGGGCTACCCTTCCTTGCAAAGTGTGGGCTGGCGGTGTTGAGACAGGATGTTTTGTTTGCACCTCTACTTATGTGACGTGGCTGTAAGATGAATGAGTGACAACGTGTGGTTTTTCTCTTGCAGAACCCCCAGATCACTGCACTTCGGACTGAACCCAAGCCCCTGCCGCAGCCGCAGCCCCCCACCGCCCAGGACCAGAACGCTCCCCAGAACGCCAAAATGCAGCCGACTCCACCCGTGTCAGCGCCTGTATCCAAATCCACTGGCCCTCCGTGCCCCATAGATCAGGACAGTCCCAGTGTGGAAAGCAAAGTGATGTCTGTGGGCAGCCCTGCCAACTCTACCCCGTTGCAGACAGAAGGATTTGGGCAGAGTTCGACCCCCAATAATCGAGCAGTTAGCCCAGTTTCCCAAGGTAGCAATAGCTCTGCTGCAGACCCCAAAGGTCCTCCCCAGCAGGTGTCTGGTGGGGACCCGTCCAGTTTGGGTGAGAATCCAGACGGACTGTCACAGGAGCAGCTGGAGCATCGAGAGCGCTCGTTGCAGACCCTGAGAGACATACAGCGCATGCTCTTCCCTGACGAGAAGGAGTTTGCGGGAGGGCAAAGTGGGGGGCCACCCCCAAATGCTGGGGTGCTGGATGGTCCCCAAAAGAAACCCGAAGGGCCGATACAGGCCATGATGGCTCAATCCCAAAGTTTAGGCAAAGGGTCAGGGTCTCGGACAGATGGAGGGGCTCCGTTTGGCCCTCAAGGACACAGGGACATGCCTTTTTCCCCAGACGAAATGGGGCCACCACCAATGAACTCCCAGTCGGGACCCATAGGCCCAGACCACCTGGACCACATGACTCCTGAGCAGGTGGCCTGGCTCAAGCTGCAGCAGGAGTTTTACGAGGAGAAGAGAAGAAAGCAAGAGCAGGTGGTTGTGCAGCAGTGTTCCCTGCAGGACATGATGGTCCATCAGCACGGGCCTCGTGGGGTGGTCCGAGGCCCTCCCCCTCCCTACCAGATGACCCCTGGGGAGGGCTGGGGACCTGGGGGTCCAGAGCCCTTCCCTGAAGGCATGAACATGTCGCACTCCCTGCCCCCCAGGGGCATGGCCCCTCATCCCAACATGCCCGGGAGCCAGATGCGCCTGCCTGGTTTTGCAGGAATGATTAATCCTGACATGGAGGGCCCCGGCGTCCCGAATCCTGCCTCCCGGCCTGGGCTTTCAGGAGTTAGTTGGCCAGACGATGTGCCAAAAATCCCAGATGGCCGAAACTTCCCTCCAGGCCAGGGTGTCTTCAGTGGCCCTGGCCGAGGGGAGCGGTTCCCCAATCCGCAGGGCCTGCCCGAAGAGCTCTATCAGCAGCAGCTGGCTGAGAAACAGATGGGCCTCCCTCCTGGCCTGAATATGGAAGGCATCAGGCCCGGCATGGAGATCAACAGGATGATGCCCTCCCAGAGACACATGGAGCCTGGGAACAACCCCATCTTCCCTCGCATGCCGGTGGAAGGGCCGATGAGCCCCTCCAGGGGGGACTTCCCAAAAGGAATACCCCCACAAATGGCCTCTAGCAGGGAGCTGGAGTTTGGGATGGGCCCTGGCGGCATGAAGGGGGACATGGGCATGAACGTCAGCATGGGCTCCAACCCACCCCTGGTCCCTCAGAAGCTGAGGGAGGCAGGAGTTGGGCCGGAAGAGATGATGAAACTGCGCCCCGGCGTCTCAGAGATGCTTTCCTCTCAGCAGAAAATGGTGCCGCTGCCGTTTGGGGAGCACCCGCAGCAGGAGTATGGCATGGGTCCCAGGCCTTTCCTTCCCATGTCTCAGGGCCCAGGAGTCGGTCTCCGAAATCTCAGAGAACAGATTGGGCCTGACCAAAGGACTAACAACCGGCTCAGCCACATGCCGCCACTACCTCTGAATCCCACCAGTAACCCTAATAGCCTCAACACTGCTCCCCCTGCACAGCGCAGCCTCGGCCGCAAGCCCTTGGATATCTCCGCAGCCGGTCAGGTGCATTCGCCAGGAATCAACCCCCTGAAATCCCCTACGATGCGCCAGGTCCAGTCTCCCATGATGGGGTCTCCCTCCGGGAACCTCAAGTCCCCTCAGACGCCCTCCCAGCTGGCAGGAACCCCCCCTGTCTTGGGGTCTGCTGCTGCTTCTCCTGTCCACCTCAAGTCTCCGTCTCTCCCCGCACCTTCTCCCGGATGGACTTCGTCTCCAAAGCCTCCTTTGCAGAGCCCTGGGATTCCCCCGAACCACAAGGCGTCTCTCACCATGTCTTCTCCAGCCATGCTGGGGAACGTGGAGTCGGGTGAGTGCCGCCTCTGCGAGCTAGGCTTGGCTCGTGGGTTTGCGTGGGGTTACCCCGAGGGGTGAGCCAGGGGAGAGGGAGGAGGTTTCTTGCAGGGTGGCAGTGCCGCGAGGCGAGGCGGTGCTTGGCCCGAGGGTCTGGTTGGCGGCTACGCGAGGGGAGCGCAAGCCCTTTTCCTCCTCCTGTGGTGTTTGTGGGTTTGCGCTGTGCCTGCCGTGTGTCGGGGTGAGGGCTGGTCACTCCGAGGACGTGAAAGTGAAAGGTGGCCGGGGGTCAAGCGGTGTGAAAAGATGTGGAGTGTCGATGGGAGAAATCTCTCCTCGGAAGGGTTTTTGGCTGTTCTGCCACAGCTCCTGGTGGCTGTAGCTTTGCAGAGAAG